TTTACCTTATTGAGTAAATAAATAAATTACTAAATTTTTAATAGATGATGATATTACTGATTAAAATCTAAAAACAGAAAAGTTTGTTTTCTGTTGATGGCTATATAAGAAGTAGTTTTTTAAAGCATGTTTGGCAGTAGTACACACCTGCTTCAGTATATTGGTTACTCTGGGGTATGAAGAGCAAAAATTATAAGAATTAGGAGATACAGTTTTACCTGTTGCAGAAGCTATTTTCTCAACAATAATAGTAAAAGAGGTTTGAGTCAGATACAGCAAAAAGGTAACATTTGTTTGAGTACTTGAATACTACATTGTTTTCTCTACTTTTCTCATGTTTGAAACATTTTATCATTTAAAAGGTTAAATACATGTTCATTGTATGAATCTAGAATGAAATAAAACTCACATGTAATCTCACCCTTGCTAGATTTAAATCTAACTGACTGAAGGAAGTTGCAAAATCCGTATCACAGGCCAGTCCAGTTAAGCAATGCTATGTTTAAAGCTTGTCACGTTGAATTAGTTTTTAGAACTCTAACACTCCAATTCCATATGGCTGCCCTGATTGTTGAAACAGAGGAAGAATTCAACATCACTGAAGTGAAAAAAATAAAGAAGCATGCCAATGATAAACTCAAGTAAATACTGTAGAAAAATGTGGTCTAAAATGTGAATTAGGATCGGTCAGGAAGCAATGGTGGAACTCAACCAAAATCAGGAGAATTATAATTTTCCTTCTCTCAGGCTAATATAAGCTGTCATCACATTTCTAGATCATTCAGTCACCTAATGTATAGTGTCCATCTTTTCAGGCAGCGAAAAGTTAAGTTGAATGCATTTCCTATTTTAGTGGCTTCAATTATGTTCTCTTCACCACAAACAAAAATTTTCAGTGCCCTTTTTATATGCTGATGTTGGCATCTTTCTAATGAGGAAAGCAAATAGGGCAATTGGTGAACATGACTGACAAAACGAAATACTGAGAGGTACATCAGATCTATTGACAAAAGTTCACACTCATTCGGAAAAAAAAAAAAAAAAAACAGAAGCAGCCTCCAGCCTGTGCTCTCTGGTGGTTATCTGGAGAAGAAAAGCAGTGTCGTGCAGAGATCTGGCCTATGCCATTTTGATAGCAGTATTGCTCTGAACAAATAATGTGCTTCTATCTGAAAAGACTCCACTTCAGTCACTATATTTCTACCCTTCCCAGATTTCCTAATTCTGCTTTTTCCACATTTTTTAAATTATTGATTAAGTTTCAGAATATAGTCACTGTCACTGTCATCCCGTTGTTCATCAATTTGCTCGAGCGGGCGCCAAGACAAAATAACAATACCCCAGCACTAGATTCGACACTATTGCCCTGTCTTTGAGATACTCATTTAATGAAAGTCAGAACAAGATTTTTTTTAAATCTTTGTCCAAAGTTCTTCATCACCAAAGGATAATAGGTAGACCTTGTTTTAAAGGGAAAAGAATAATAATGGTTTCATTTGTTTCTGGCAATATATGTAAGATAGTCTGAATGTATAGAAGACATCAGCCTCTGTTGACTTTCTATCATGATGTACTTATTGGAAGCCCACTATGTGTCAGATCCTGTGGTAAATGTTGACAAACCAATCTGACAGGAACTTAGAGGAGACAGGGAGATGTCTCCCTGATGAGAACCAGCCCAGGCAGTTCAGTGACCAAAACATGCCGTGAGGGCCTGGAGGAGAAACCAACTCATGCTTTGAGATCAGTAACATTCTTTTGAAATAGTATTTGTGTGGACATCCAGGGCTTCAAATAAGTATAGTTTGGTGTGATGGAGACGAAGATTTCAGATGCAAAAGCTGATTAACAAGCCAGCAAAGATCTGAGGGATGACTCCAGGATGAGAGAAAGGTTCTCAAGCAGAAAGGTAGCTAATCTGTTTTTTACTTTTTTCCTAAGAGGAATGGTCACAGTTGCGGTCAAGGGATTAAGAGCACTTCTCTTAATTCATTGTTAGAGTCTATACTCCCTACCATCCCAGAGATAGAATAAGCAAGATTATCTCTGTGCCTCTGAGTTTTCAAGTGTCCTGTCCTACCTCTTCCTATAGTCCCGATTCCTTCTGTTTTCATCCTTGTTCTAGTACTAGGAAATTTGTGTTCTCTGAGTCCCTCCCTCAGGTGAGCTGATAACCCCAAAGAAGCTTCTCTAAAGATGAAAATGTGAGATGAAACTCATTAGCTGACACTGTGTTAGCTAGTAAACTTTTAACAATTCAGTGGACTGGTAAGATATTTAGGAAGTACAATGAGATCCATAGGACATGATGGGTTTTAAAAGTGATGAGATAGCAAGAATTGCTCCAAGGTCTCCTGGTTATAGGTAATCAGCTAGGTGATGATGTCATCACTTGAGATAGGAAGTATCAGGATAAGTGAGATAAAGAAGAGGGAGAATAATAACTTCATTTCTGACACTAAGTCTGAGTTTTTGGTTAACACAGTTGCTTCTTAATCTTCAAAATCCTAGTTGAAATTTTGATTCACAAGGGCATGAGCACAGCCAGTATTATTCCATTGTTGAAAAATGAGTTGGCAGCTTTATTAGCCAAAAGTTATGTTTGGAAAATTCTTCTTTTGGGGGTATGCTTCCCTAGATATTATGCTTTTTGGGAATGTAATGCTTTTTTTGGATTTAAGTTAATTTATATAGTATCAAATGGACAAAGAAATATAACTAATAACTTCTTTCTGTTATTAACAAGAGAATTCTGTTGAGAGAATTTAAAGTCACATGGAGGTAATGAGACTAGGGTGAGAAATATTAAGAAAAAAAGAAAAAGATGTAAATTTCATAAACAGAATTTTAATGCTCTTAATTATTTTGCGTAACTGGTGGATTTTTTTTCATTTCTTTGGTTTGAGCTTGGGCTATTTTCTTTGGCTACAATCCAAGTAAATACTTACATTTAGAATTATATTTTTCTCTACAGTCTTATTTGACAACCTAAATTTGTTCCTACTGTAAAGCATGTTTTCATGTGGGATCATATCGTTAATATATTATTAATAAAATAACCACTTAAATAAGTTTTGTTTCCCTATTATTTGAAAGTTAATTTGCCTTTCCACTGGGTCCTAGGATAAACAATTACTATCTTCACAATACAGTGAACCTTTTGCACCCCTCTCACCCTTCTACAGCTATTTTTCTGAAATTCTTTTGTTCAGAACCAGGTCTGTTTTAGAAGATGTTATTGGTATACAATAATAACTGTTTCATTTGTTTCTGAAATTTCAAGTTAAATTTCAAGTTCCTTTAAAGACTTAATTGTCCCTTGTGCCGTATTTGTATCAGAACTAAAGTGTGTGTGTGCTCTCTTTTTGGCAAGCTCAATATATCTTAAGGGGAAAAAAATATACATCATTTAAAATATTTTCTTTACTACATTAGTCTTCAGCAAGCAGAGAAGGGCTTTTCTGAAGTAAGATTAGACAATAGCGCCAACTTCATTTTTTATGCACGTGAATGGAGAGGGCTTGAGGTTATTAGTTGAAACCGAGTAACCTTTCCAGGCTTTCATCTCTTTCTTTTCAAATTTGAATATGAAAAGCATATTCAAGTCAAAGACCATCACTTTAATGACATTTGGCAGTCATTTGATTTATTAGGTTTTAGAAAAAAATTTCCTTTAAATATTTCATCATACTATGCTAATCCTAGTAATATTGCCAGCTGCAGCCTTGTACCTGTATTAGCGGAGACAGAATGGTGTGGAATTTTCTCTGTCATCCTAGTAAAATTTCCATGAACCTACTGAATAATAAAATAACCTTATTGAAATATTCAGATTTGGGTTTTTAGTTAAAGTGTCTTAGAATACATAATAAAAGAAAATGTCTTTTAAAAGAAAGGGGTAAAATTACTTCATCAAATATTGAGGGGGTTTGACAGCAATGGAAATTGTTCTTTATGGTGATATTTTTACAGTAGGATACTTAAGCTTTTCAATTTCATTAATTTTATTGTGTGCTTTTAATAAGTAATCACTGTGGTGAATTTGTACACTGATACATGTTTAACAATTGACTTCTAAAAGTCGACCACATAAACACATTTTATTTTCAGCATTTTCTAATCGCTGTTTAAAGTTATATCATTTACAGTAGCATATTCTGAATTTCATACAAAAGGAATTAGTAAGGGGATTTAAAATTTTAAAATTAGAAAAGCTGTCATTTAAGTGATAATCTTAATGAGATCTAATTTTTAAGTCATAGTATGTTATATGTTATCATTACTCAGGGAAATATTTTTGACTCCCATAATAATGTCTATGACCCCAAAATCTGTTTACTGAGAGTGAAATAAAAATTGTACAGTTATGGTTTTAGTTGCTAATTCTGTAAAAATGTGATAGTTAAATCACAATAGAATGTATTATATTGAACAAAATTTTGTTTTGTTTGAAATATGATTAAATGAAATGTTATTTGTTACAAAATAACAAAATAAGCTAGTTTCTGCTATAGTTAATATGAATTCATAAATTATGCTATACATGTTAGCTATAAAGTATTCAACAGGCTTTGCTACCTGAATAATTAAAACTTTCCCAGGTACTGTAGATTAAATAATAGCAGTGATAAACATGTACTTCATTGCATTGTTTGAAACAAGATCAGCTAATAATGTGTCATTCAGAAAGCAATCTTCAATGAAGATTTTGTAATCTTCACTCTTGATAGACTATTCGTGGGGTATTTATAGCCTCAGATGTAAATCAGGAGACTATTGCCATGGCACTGTTAACTCCAAACCCTGGGGCATTCGAATCTCATTCTCTCTCACTCTCCTTCTCCCTCTGTTGTGAATAATCGTTCATCTGTAACTGTACAGGATGCAGTGGGTTCCAAAGAACCCATTGGCCTTCGTGTCTTTTTTTTCCATTGATAGTGGAAAAGAGTAAAGAAGTTTTATCTCATTAATTTTTTTTTTCATTTTTGCTCTTTCAACAGCCATCTGAAAAAATTCGAATTGAGATCATAGCTCTAAGCCTTACTGATTCTCGAGTGGCTGTAGATGACACTATTCAACGACTGTTTGTTGAGTGCAGGTTCTACAGTCTTCCTGCCGAAGAAACACCTGTATCACTTCCAAAGCCCAGGAGTGGACAGTGGGTCTACTATAACTACAGCTATGGTATGTATCGTTATTGGCAGTATAGGTTGTTTTTTGTTTGTTTTTTGGTATCCCCTTCTAGTACAAACGCTCTTATTTTCCAAAGGCCAGATGAGAAATCATATGGGAAATAAAGAAGCAAGGTCAGTCAGTTCAAGAATCTGATTCCTCCTTCCTTTCACTGACTTGAAATAGCATTTCCATCATTATCTTCCCAAGCTTCCTAGAGATCTTTTAACTGCAAACTGCAGAAAAGTAAACCACATCAAAATAGTATTAGTAAAGCAGGAACTATGCAGTCAACAAGTCTTAATGAAGACCCAGAAAAGAAACAAACTCCTCAGACTTTTATTTTATATTAATCTTTGTAAAGTTCCTCAGTGAAATGTTTAGCTGGACTGGCAACAAAATTGTTTTTTAGAAATTGATTGGAAGTTGCGAAACTTGGCAGAACAGTAGAACAGATGTTTCCTTTTGCTCAAGAGTGAAACCTGTGATAAGTGCTGGGGTGTCCTGGATTTTGTACGTTCGCACCCTGCAACTGAGATCTCTTGGTGCTTTTGGTTGGTTGGTTGGTTGGTTGGTTGGTTGGTTGGTTGGCTGGTTGGTTAGTTGATTGGTTGGTTGGTTGGTTGGTTGACATTGTTTTGTTTTCTTTTGTTTTTCTTTTACTACAAGGTAACATACTAATTGGTTAGGGGTTTTACAGGGATTGTTGGTGGCCAGCCTCCTAGGAGAAACCCAGGGATCTCTTCCCAGCAGTTTTTCTCCATCCTGAATGCTGGAGGATAACTTATGCTCAGAATTAGGGTATTTTTGGAGATGCTGGAGAGGGAGGCCGCCCATGTAGTACTCAGAGGCCTGAGAGATGCTCAGGAGACTCTGTGATGCCCAGAATCAAACCCGGTTCAGGCACATCGAGGTATATGCCCTAACTATCATCTGCTGGCCCCCAGGAATTAGTTAAGAGTAACTGGAAATAAGAATATAATGGACTTTGTGCTTAGAAGCAAAATAATGCTGTTTTATGTCTACTATAAAATCCTAGACTATCAGCACGTTTAAAATAATATTAACCCAGTCATATGGCATAATGTTTTTTTTAAATTTATAGTTGTATCTTCATTACAGAGGGAGTCTCTGACTTTTGCTTAATAAGTAACTATCTCATCTAATTATTATATAATTCACTTATTACTTGATATGATAGGTTAATATAAAGTAGCCTTCCTTACATCTTCCAAATCTTATTAAATGTTAGACAGTTATTTTATTTCCAAATTCAGATGGAAATTTTAGAGGATATTCAGTACATGCTGTCTCCTGTTTGAGCCCATGCCAATCTAGAGGTTAACTGAACCTTGCAATGATTTTTTTACCCTGCATTATGACTTGAATATATTCAAAAGGGATTTGTAGGCTGAGGCCTAAGTTAGGTACATAAAATGAGAGGTTTAGACTGTGATATCCAGGATTATTCATAGCCTAATTCAGTCTTTATTAAGAGGTGTTAATACCAGTTTCACCTATACGAAAAATATGCCTTCTTTGAGGGGGAAAAGTTGAATTCACTTGCTAGACATTAGTAGTAAGTAAAAAACATTTGCATTTTATTGGACTTGAAATTTTTGCTTAGAGAATGCTAAGAAAGGAAGAAAATAGTTTGCAAAAATAAGATTAATGGTGGTTCTGAAGAATGTTGTCTGGGCTAAATAAAGCCTTCCAGGGAATTGACAGTGGGAAGAAAAAAGATTAATGAAATCATCTAAAGTTTTTATGAGTCTTATACAGATCTGGACCCTAAATCTCTAAAGATCGAACAGTCTGTCTTTTAGAACAATAAGAATTTAATTTGAAAGATTAAAAGGATGCAGAACTTTAGATTTTGCTACTAAAGGAAGGAGAAATATGGCAAAGATAAGGATTAGGAGATAATTCTAACAGAAAAGTTATCTGAGATTCAAGGTTTATCAACCTTGTAAAGCGGTTGTATTTCTTATTTCTCCCAAATGACATTGATTGAGAATAAAAGGATTTCTGCAACCTGCAGAAGTGAAGGATGTGTTCTCAAGGTGAATTCATCAATTCAAATGTTTAATAGACCCTTGGTTCATATCTTTCTTGTAGATGTATCTTCTTTAAGTAATATAATTTCTGATGAGAATCAGAGGTAAATTTAATAACTTTTAGAGAATTTTGATGACTTTTCAGAATCATCATCATTTTTTTTTCTATTTGAGGTTTTGAAGTTGTAAGGTTTTTGTGTTGACCACTTTGTTTCAGAATACCAAATGAATATTCTTAGAATCACGACCTAAAAAGAGACAGCCAGAGTGTCGCTATTTTCCACATATTCACCAAAAGTGTTCACTAATTTCTGATTCCCTTTTAAAACTGAATGTAGGGCCAGAGAAATAGTGCAGCAGGTAAGGCACTTTCCTTACATGCATCCGATCTGGTTTCAATCCCTAGCACCCCCATATGGTCCCTGAACTTGCCAGGCTCGCTCCTGAGCCCAGAACCAGGAATAAGACCTGAACACAGCCAGGTGTGGCCCTCTCCAAAGAAAACCCTGACCTAGTGAAGATGTGGGTAATGTGGCTCTCTGCCACACTTTGAATGGAAGAGACCTAAATACAATCCTCAGCACCTTAGAAACAGACAAAAAACCAAGTGTAACGGGATCGGGGTTGTGGTTTAAAGGTAAAGTGTGTTCCTCATGGTCCAAGAGCCCGTGTTTAATCTCCAGTAACGTAGTTGTGGGGACCACAGGGACTGAGCAAATGAATGGGAGACTAAAAGCTCACATATGAGAAATGCTTATCTTAGGTCTATCCCAGATCTACTGAATCAGAAACTGGATGATCTCAGTAACCTTGAGGATATTATACCAAGCCTGTCAAGGATTTTGAAGCACTTTAAAGACTAGGAACCAATAGCTAGATTAAGATTCACTCTTAAGATTATCACCTGTACAAGCAGGTGAGCTGTAGTTCTGATTTGGTGCGCCTTTAAAAGACTAAAATTCCTTTAATCAAATTGAGTATTTTCAAAAAGAAAGACCTTTCAGCATTTCACCAAGGAGTTGATGAAGTTATCTACGTGAGTGAGACATAGCTAAGCAGTATTCCCTTTCTGGAAGCATGGGGTTGGGGTTTCTTCGACACAGTTAAGGGCCTCTCTCACATGCTAGTCCATGCTGTAACTGAAATATCTAGAGGAAGGGCTTCATATGGGCGAAGTTATATCACAGAAGATAAGAACACAGATTCTGGAGGCAGAGAGATAGCACAGTGGGTAAGGTGTTGACCTTAAGTGCAGCCGACTCAGGTTCACTCCCCAGCAGCCTATAGGATCCCTTTTGCACAGACCTAGGATAAGCAGCCAGAGCATACCTGGGTGTAGCCCAATCCCTCTCCTCCCCACCCTCAGAAAGCAAAAGGCAGACTTTGGGGGAAATCATTTAACTTCTCTGGGCCTATTTTGTAATCTGTAAAACATGGATGAGAATTATTTCCTAAAGTGTGTGATTGCAATGAGAAAAGTATTGATTACAGTAACTAGTGTTAAAGATTATTCAGTAAGTGATGGTAGCTGCCACTATTTTTATCTTTGTTCAGAGATAAGGAATCAGCCTGCCAAGTAAATGAAGCAGAAGCAGAAAGTGTTCTAACTATTTCTTCTTCTCCTCCTTCTCCTCCTCCTCCTCCTCTAAAATATTTTTTAAAATATTTAATATAGAATTTCTGTATGATTCAGCAGTTCCACTTCTGAATATGTTATAAGCCAAAGAATTGAAAGCAAGGATTCTAACATCTCCGTACACCGTGTTCCTAGAAGCATTATTTACAACAGAAGAAAGGTGGAAATAACCCAAATGTTCACCAGCAGACACATAGATAAATAGAATGAGACATAGGTTTATAGACATACAGAGGAATATTATTCAGCCTTTAAAGGGAGTGGGATTCTGATCCATCACTAGGATAAGCCTTGGAAGTATTCCAGGGAGCAAAGTCAGAAATAAATGGACAGAAATTGTGTGGTTCCACTTTCCCAAGCTACGTACATAACCTAGTTCATAGAGACACAAAACAGAATGAGGCTGGCAAGGGAACACTGGGCAGTCTCTGTGTCATTGGTGGTGTGAGGACAGAGTTTCAAACTGGGATGATGAAGTTGTGGGTGGCGATGTCAGTGAGCTTAATGCCACTGATGACTCTTTCAAAAATGGTTAAAATAGTACATTGTCATTCAATCTATTTTATCACATTTGAAAAGTATTAAGCTTTTGAGAATCACCAGAACTAGTCTGATTTAACTGGAAGAGTTTTAAGTTAGATGTTGTACTAGAATTTGAATTCCATCTTTTCTTTTTCATCCCTAGAATTCCCCTTAACATTGGGGCTGAAGTGATAGTACAGCAAGTAAGGTCCTTGGCTTGCACTCCACTAACCCGAATTTGATTCCTGGCATCCCATATAGTCCCCCAAGTACCACCAGGAGAAATTTATGAGTTCAGAGCCTGGAGTAATGCCTGAGCCAGGTGTGGCCCAAAAGCAGAAACAAATAGAAATTATTACATTATTATATTATCAATCATATTATATATGCTACATATTGTATTATAATTATAATAAATAAATAATAAAATTTATTTAACATCAAAGAGCCACTATATTTAACACATTGTATTTGCTAATATAAAATTGCTAAGGGGATAGATCTTTAAAATTCTCATCATAAGAAAAAAAACTGAGCATTAATTAGACTTATGGTAATCATGTCATAAGAAATGCATATATGAAATCATTATGTTGCATACTTAAAACAAATACAGTGTTACACATTAGTAATACCTCAATATATGCCAGGGTGGAGGATTATCTCTCCCTCTCTCTTTCATACACACACACACACACACAGACATACACAAATACACACACACACACGTCCTTCAAATTTTAAGGGATTTAGAACTCTGGAATAAAAAAAATGAAATGCCCTACCACATCTTGAATGGGCTTTTGGCAATAGAAACAAAAATTCTGATTTAGCTTACTAATACCAGGAGCCAAAATGAGATATGCCTGTTATCCTAACTTCTGCACATTGATAAGTGAAACAGTTTTAGTCATAGAGTACTCTGTGTTCCTACAGAACAGCAGTCTATATAACGAGTCACATTTCCTAATCCGACACTAGGCTGAGAGTGGCAGGTCGCCCTGGATTCCCACACCGCTCTAACCACTCGCCCACCCCCCTGCAGACATCTCTGTGCCCCCCACCCAGTGTGCCCAGCCCGGCCACTGACCCAACAATGACTGAGGGACGCGATAGCATCGTAATTTGAAATTGAGCTGGAAGAGCCCAGGGAAACATTCTCCGTGTGAAATATGTTTGTTCCCATCGGAGCTCGGCTTTAGAATTGTCATGGCATCTTCCTCCCTTTGTGTACTTTTCATCAGGGATAATCTCCAGTGTGAGATCTGGTCACAGGGGAGCATTTGCCACCAAGATGGCATCTGGAGGGAAAAGGAAAAGAAAAAAGAAAAAAAAAAAAACATTGTCTTCAGAAGCCAAGGCATGGCTGAAAAGCTGTCAAGCTCAGAAAATACAGGCATGTTCTAAACTGGGAGTCTTCCTGCACCAAGATGCCGTTTCCCAAGGTGCAGATGCGTATTTACAGGTTCAGGTGTCTCTTCTCCTCCCTGGTGGGGCTTTGGGTCAGTTCTCTAATCTCCCGTTTCACTAAGCAAAGTCTGGCCACATTCCTGCATGCCAACCTGGACCTTGAAAAACCAAAGACAAACTTTCCACCCTCCAGAGCCTCTCTGCCTTCCCCCGAAGCTCTTCTCACGCGAACCCCGCACCCCACGCCTGCCCCCAACCACCACAGCCGCCGGCCTGTGGATTTCCTCAGCCCTGGACACTTTGGTGCTGCTTTTATTGCATGCTGTGGCAGGAGAGAGGATTAAATTACAGAGGCTGTCCAAAGGACAAACTCTCTGCCATACGTTATCATTATCACTTGCTTCTTGGGTAAAGGAAACTGCAATAAATCCCTCAAATACAAAGCAATAAAGACGGCTGGCTTTTACTGTCAGGACTGCCGGTGCCATTAGCAGGTGGTGACAGCAGTGTGGCTCTCTTCGATGTTGCTTGTATCTCTTCTGACAGTCCACACGTAAACCGGCCAGTGACATGACATTGGATCACGTGAGTCTTCCGACTTGATTCCTGTTCCCGGGGCCGCTTTCTTTACCCTGGCAAGCAAACAGGGTGGCACAAATTGTGTCTCCAAAAACATTTAGGTAAGTCTATGAATGCAGAGTTCTAAGGTAGCTGACTCCTGAGTGACTTTTTCTCTTGTTTGTTTCTTTTTTTTTTTTTTGGTACAGTCATCTATGTGGATAAAGAAAACAACCAAGCAAAGAGGGACATCTTGAAAGCTGTACTGCAAAAACAAGAGATGTCGAACAAAAGGTACATCTGAGCATTCTCAAACTATCTGTTGATGTAAATTAAACAGATCTTTACAGGGCCGGAGAGGTCACATAGCAGGTTAGGGCATGATTAGCCTTGCATGTGTCTGACCCGGTTTCGATCCCCGGCACTGCAGGAGTCAGCACTGAGCACCACCAGGTGTGGCTCCCAAAACAACCCAAAACGAACCCCTAAAATCCTTTAAAAAAAACAGATCTTTGTGATATGATGTGGTGGGGGGAAAAAAGCACAAGATAAAAACATCTGATTCCCCTGTGATCTTGAATGAGTGTGTGGATTCTCTGGGTCTCTGTCCTCTGAGGAATACCTCAGGCCTGCCGCACATACAGTCGACTCTGGAGACCCATGGGGTTTTGAAGCCTCGGCCTGTGCAGGCCGTGTCAGGGTAACTGTAAAAAGTGGGTGTGAGGAGGGCACCCTCAGGAGTCGGAGGGTGTGAGCCAGAACCCCTGCTCCATCACTTTCTAGCTCTCTGACCGCGGAACAAGTTACTTGGCCCCCCTGTGCGTCATTTTCTTGGTACAGTGGAGCTAATAACCTCATATGTGGTTGTTCTGAGGCTTAAGGGAGGTCATCTGTGGAGAACAGATCAGTGCCCTAGACACAGTGAGAGCACAGTGGTTACCGAGACCATCCTAAACAATTGAGAACATTGTTTGTACCAACTCACGAGCTTCTCAGGGTGATGTTTACTTCCCTATTACTGATTAATAATAATTTCAAGTTACTTCCAATGTGGTTGTTTGCTTTGTTTTTATTTTGTTGTTTGCAACTTTGAGTAGGATGCTTCATGGTTCTGATTCAGTCACCAACTCTTTTTTCTCCCAATTTATTTTTTATTGGCTGATCATTTTACAGTTTTGTTAATAATGGTTTCCCCTATACATAATTCCAACACTGTTGCCATCAGCACCTCCCTCCCCAACACCTCTCCCTTTCAAACAACTCACCCCACCCCTCCCGAGACACACACACACACATGCACGCGCGCGCACACACACACACACACACACTGTTTTGTGGATCAGTTCTAAGGAAACCCTTTTTTGAGAAGTAAAAACAACTGGTCTAAATAAGTTTATGTTTGGTGCCTTTCCTCGCCCTGCTCCTTTGGCCTGGACGGACCCTTAATCTCTTTCCTTGTTTTTTCTCCTTGCCTTTATGGCCCAGAGACGGCTCCACCTCTCCGCCTCAGAAATGGAGCTCCCCTACCCCCCACGCCCCCAAGAAGAGGTCGCAGCTTTGCTAGAGGTCACGCACAAAGCGAACGTTAAGGACACTCAGGCGTCTTATCTTCCGTCTGGAGAAAGGAGGCTGGAATTCTCAGCTCTCGGGATCTGATAGTAGCTTTTTCATTAGCTTCGAGAACTACATCTATCATTTCTTTGGATCTCAGTTCTGAAGAAGCGGTTGTAAAGCCCCGTTAATAGCTTGAGGTTCTGGTTTTCCCAGGATGGGAAAGAATCGCCGAAGTTTTACTTATTAACTCCGTGTACTTCAGCTTCTTTCACAGCCCTCTCAAAGGCCACCAGTCCCCCAGGGTCACCCCGGGTCGTCGGGGCCGAAACAGCTCTGCCCTGTAATCTGCTTCTCAGCAGTCCACGAGACGTGCCCTCGCGGCCCAGGCCCAGGCGCAGGTCCCCAGGGCCAGCCCCGCTCAGCCTTAGCCCTGTGCTCCTTCCCGCTGGCCTCCCTCTTGGATCACTTTGTGCTTCGCTCTGTTCCTGGAACGTTCCTGCAGATGCTAAGGAGCTCTTGTCAGGGGGGAGGGAGCACACTTGTGTTTCCTAAAAGTGTCTCCTCTTTAAAAGCCAGATTCTGCTTGAAGATCCGCCTTCCCTCCAAAGACCTTCTCGTCTGTACCAGAATTAAGTAATCGTTTTTTAAAAGAAATCGCATCTACCTTGACTGCCCTCATACCCTGCTGTTTTGCCAGAGCCTCTTAAGTGTCCCACAGAGATGCCCTCTCACCATGGACAGCCAGGAGGGCAGTAGGTGCCAAGTGGGACAGGGCCAGTGTGGGGTGAGGGGGCCTCTGTGCTCTCTGGTTCCCACGGAGAAAATTCCACCAGTGTTTGTGTCCGTGGTGTCAGGGGCGGAGGGGAAGGGAGGGGGATGGCACTGCCCCCTTCTTCTCCTTTGACAACAGCATTTTTCTTTTTTTTTTTTATTGTATTTTATTTTTGTAATGTTCACAATAGTTCAGCACAGATATTATTCAAACACCAATCCCACCACTGTGTATCTCCCCACCACCAGAAGACAAAAGTGTGTGAAGATTGTTGTATTTCATCCTGGAGCCATTTAAACCCTTACATAAGAGATTACAGACATGTATGTTAAACCCAAACAAATGTGTGCTACTTTTGGTACGTCAGCGGGCTAGAGTATAAGAGGTCACACGGCCGCATTCGCTCCTGGATGTTCTGTGTTGCTGTCCTCTGGGAGCTTTGGCTGTTGATGAGATTATACGGCACCGGGGGCAGTTTGTGGGTGTGACTGCCAAACTGCTGGAAAATTGGGGAGCTGGGAGGAGGAGATCCAGTCCCGTTCTGAAAGAGCTTGGAGATCTCAGTCACAGGTCCCACATACCTGGGTTTTCTGCTGGTTCCCTCATTGGTGAGGCTCGTCCAAGCCTGTGGAGAGAAGCCTTGAACATGGCTGTGCAATTGGGTTCTGGAGGGTTTTGGCTGCCGGGATTCTGCTGGGGCAAGGAGGGAAACTCAACCTGGCCCCTCTGAGTTGCCCCAGTGAAGACAGCCTGGCATGGGGGGATCAGGATGTTCTGACAACAGCATTTTCTTAAGGGAAAAATAAGAGCATTTACATTTACATTTTTTCCACAACCAAAAGAGACAATAATTATTTCCGTAAATGTTCTCAACTTACAAGCGCTCATTACCCGAGATGCATCACTTGTCCAGAGCACTGAACCATTTCAGCCTGATTGGCCAAGTACCACCAGGAGTGGCCACCAGGCCCCTTGACTAGTACTTGGAGGACCCAACACCCACCCACCCCAAATATCATTTTCTTAGACCCTCCTCAGTATCGGTGATCATGTCCAGCAACATAGTACAAATTTGACCTTTCTTCCCTGAAGTACATAAAGTTATCAACATTGTCTCAAGAATCCTTTGCATTCTTGAAATCCTCGGCCCTTTGCATCCTGACCCTTCTGCATTGGCAGTTACATAGATGTCGCTTTATTTTTCTTATGTTTAGCTTTAATTTTTTTATTGAATCACAGTGAGATACACAATTACAAGACTGTTCATGATTGGGTCTTAGTTATAAAATGTTCCAGCACCCATCTCTTCACCTGTGTACATTTCCCACCACCAGTGTCCCCAGTTTCCCTCCCACCACCCCACAGGCAGACACTTTCCTTCTCTCTCTCTCTCTCTCTCTCTCTTTCTCTCTCTCTCTTCCTCCCTCCCTCCCCCCTTTTGGGCATGGTTTGCAATACAGATACTGAACGGTTATCATATATATCCCCTTACCTACTTTCAATGCTCAGTTCTTGTATTTTTGTCATAAAGTCCCTTCTCTATCCTAACTGCCCATTGCCCCACACACACTTGTGGCAAATTTCCAACCACTGACCAGTCCTTCTGGCTCCTCTTTCACCTGGCCTGGAATATTGGTCTCGTACTAATTTTTTTTAATATCTCACAAATGAGTGCAGTCATTCTATGTCTGTCCCCCTTCTTTTGACTTATTTCACCCAGCATGATACTCACCATGTCCATCCAGTTATAAACAAATTTTATTATTTCATTTTTCTAACAGCTGCATAATATTCCATTATGGAAATATACCATAGTTTCTTTATCCCATTGTTTGTTCTCGAGCACTCAGGATATTTCCAGATTCTTGCTATTATAATAGTGCTGCAATAGACATACAAGTGCAGGGGGTGTTTCTGCTGTGTGTTTTTGTACCCATCAAGGCATATTCCCAGAAATGGTATTGCTGGGTAAAATGGAATCTCATTTTCTAATTTTTTGAGAAATATTCCTATTCTTTTCCAAGTGATTGGCTCAACCAATCACCATTCCCACCAACAGTGAAGGAGAGTCCCTTTCTCCCTGCGTCCACCCGAGCACTGGTTTGTTCTTGTTCTTTTGGATGTGTGCCAGTCTCTGTGGTGTGAGATGATACCCCATTGTTGTTTTGATTTGCATCTCCCTGATGATTAGTGATGTACAGCATTTTTTCGTGTGCCTTTTGGCCATTTGAATTTCTTCTTTGAAGAAGTTTCTGTTGATTTATTCTCCTCATTTTTTGATGGAGTTGGGGTTTTTTTTCGTGTAAAGTTCTACTAGTGCCTTATATATCTTTGATATTAACCCCTTATCAGATGGGATTTTCCAAATAATATTTTCCGTTCTGTGGGCTGTCTTTGTATCTTGGTCACTGTTTCTTTTAAGGTGCAGAGCTTCTTCTTTTTTTTTTTAACTTTTTTTGGGTCACACCCAGCAATGCTCAGGGGCTACTCCTGATTCTGCACTTTAGAATTATTCCTGGGGGGGTGCATGGGCAGATCACATGGGATGCTAGGGATCAAACCTCGTCGGCCACATGTAAGGCAAATGCCCTACCCTCTGTACTATCACAAAAGCTTTTTAGTTCAATGTAGTCCCAACAACTGTCACTTTAAAACAGGAGATCACACACTGAAATGGAGCTTAATCTCATTCTTTTCATTTGATGTCATAGTTTTGACACCAACATAAGATTGCTTTCTTATTTCCTTTCTTCTCTTTAGTAGTGTTCTATAGCAGAATCAACATGGCCATCAGCATCCCAATATCTAAAACTCACCAGATTGACAACTCATGATTTGTCTGTCATGATTCATGTCAAGAATCAGGAGGGAATCAAAAATCAGGTTAAGTGAGTCATGGAGTTTTATTCCCTTCTGATTCCTAAGTAACAGGACTCTGATTCCTGAGTCCTGTTTGAGATGGAAATCTTGAGGTCACACCTCCAGGAAGCTTTTCCCAGGTGGGCCAAACTTTAGTAAGTAGTAACAGAAAATCTTTGTGTTTCCTTACATGAATGTGGAAAAAGAGCTTGGGAAACATGCCAGAGTATCTACACTTGTGGACTTCTCCACCAGGGGAGAGAAACAACAGCTAGCAAGCAAACTAATCACACAGGGCAATGAGTACCGAGAGAGCAAAATAGAGAACAACAGCGCACAAGTACCATTTACACTGGGTAGTGAGACTGAGAGGATCCAGTTCAGTCACGGGAAGCCCCAAGACTGTTACACGCAGAGAAATTTCTGAGCATGAGAAACATGCTTAGAGATAAACATGCTTTGTTTTGTTTTGTTTTGTTTCTGGGGGGTGGAGGTGGGAGGTGGTTGTTATTGGTTTGGTTTTGTTGTTGTTGTTTTGGGGTTTGGGGTTCTGGTTGTTTTTTTGGGGTTTTTTGTTTTGTTTCGCTTTGCTTTCTTTTGGTGGGCTGGGCATGTCAGCATGGCCCATCCTGCTGAGAAGAGAGAGTAGTGCGGCCAGAGGGAAAGGTGGGGAGAGGATGCATTTTGTTTCTACCTGCACTCGAGTACTTGGTATCTACCCCATGTGTATATCCAGGTCCTCCAGATTAGACTTTAAGCCTCTTTAGGACATGAAACAAGAGTTTTATTGTTGTTTTTTTTATATCTCTTTGCCTTAGCTGTGCAGAAGGTGAGATAATGTGTCTAACACTTATGTGTATGTAGTTTGACCAAAGTCTAGTGTTTTAAAATTATTTTCGTGTACTGTCTCCCTCTTAAGTAAAACATCCCGGACTCTTGATTTTGAATTTGGCATCTCATTTTATTCTCCATAGAATTTCAAGCCCAGGGTCCAGGGAAGTAAATCAACAGAAGAGCACTTGCCTGGCAGTCTCAGAAATTCAGTCCCCAGTACTGCAAACAAAGAAAAAACTAATTTAAAACCAGAAATACTATATTTTTATTGTAATTTCTATCCCTTTCTCTTTTGTTTAGAAGACCTTTTAATCTATCTCAGAGTTCTCTTACATTCATGGTGGCAGCATAGCATTTGTAAATTGCTATGACCCCAAAGATATGAAGCATTATATAAGGATGACCCTATTATCATTAATAAAATCTGTGTAGCCTCCACCTTTCTGTAAATCTTATGGAAAGAAAAATGTATACAAATATCACTTTTAATTCCTAGTCTTCCATGTACATTCATTTAGGACAATTTCTTTCTTTACCATTCTTAGAATTCAATTTATAATTTGAAAACAAGTTTTCAAGGGTAGCAAGCCTTTCCATTCTTTCATTTCCTTACTCCTGGGCAATATAAACATCTAAGCAGCTCTATCAAGAATAAATATAGTAACTGCAAAATAACAGATGTTTATTTAGTGCTTACTATGTCCCAGACACTGTTGATACGCATTGCCTCATTTGATCTTCCTAAGAGCCCTTATGAGACAGATAAATCTAAGCCCATTCTGCAGGTGGAGAAACTGAGATTGGAGAGATTCAGTAATTTGTCCAAGGTCACACAGCTAATAAGTATGAAAGCAAAAATTTGAACCCAGAATATACAATGATTAAGACCATCCCATCTTAATCTTGTTATTTTATACATCTGAACTATCCATCTCATCCACTTGCAGACAGCTCATCATAGTTATTGTGGAAAATCTATAAAATTTTCCATAAATTTAAAGGATTTCTGTTTTCTAACCAACATTTATTTCTAGGTAAAAGCAAAGGCTTGTAAAAGAATGAGATGTTGAATTCTTATAGCAAATTAAGAATATTGTCGTGTTTTGTAAATGCCTTTGGAAATGAGTTTGTTTGTCCATATTTTTCTAAGTATGATTTCTCTATTATTTAGATTTGGGGTTGGTGGGGTTAGTGTGGGAGGTGAAGCAAAAGAGCTGTCACTGAAACTTACTTAGAAAGATGTGAGGAGAGAGAGGAAATATGTGTTCAAGAGAGATCTCAGGGTTTCCCGGAGAGGATAAAGCCAGTAAGGAGACGTGGAAACCAGCAGGTGAGATGGGGAGGTGCATGTGCAAGGGAGAGCACAGGCTTGCAGCACTAAGGCTTAGATTGTTATCTAAGAAAAAAATTTTTTTTAAAAAGTGGGGGGGGGGGGACGAAAGGATACTATAGTGAGTAGGGCTCTCACCTTTCACGTAGCCAACCCAGATTCATCCCTGACATCCCATATGGTTCCTTGAGCACTTCCAAAAGTGATTTGTGAGTCCAGAACCAGAAGTAAATACCCACACACAGAAAAAAAAAATTTAAAAACAAGAAAGGAAGGGAGGGAGGGAGGGAGGGAGGGAGGGAAAAGAGAGAGAAGAAAGAAAGAAAGAAAGAAAGAAAGAAAGAAAGAAAGAAAGAAAGAAAGGAAGGGAGGGAAGGAGGAAGAAAGAAAGAAAGAAAGAAAGAAAGAAAGAAAGAAAGAAAGAAAGAAAGAAAGGAAGGAAGGAAGGAAGGGAGAGAAAGGGAAGGAAGGAAGGAAGGAAGGGAGGGAGGGAGGGAGAAAGGGAGGGAGGGAGGGAGGGAGGGAGGGAGGGAGGAAGGGAGGGAAAAGAGAGAGAGAAAGAAAAGAAAGAAAGAAAGAAAGAAAGAAAGAAAGAAAGAAAGAAAGAAAGAAGGAAAGAAAGAAGAGGGGGAGGGAAGGAGAAAGAAAGAAAGAAAGAAAGAAAGAAAGAAAGAAAGAAAGAAAGAAAGAAAGAAAGAAAGAAAGAAAGGGAGAAAGAGAGGGAGGAAGGGAGGGAGGGAGGGAGGGAGGGAGGGAGGGAGGGAGGAAGGAAGAAAGAGAGAGAAAGAAAGAAAGAAAGAAAGAAAGAAAGAAAGAAAGAGAGAGAAAGAAAGAGAGAGAGAGAAAGAAAAGGAAGGAAGGAAGGAAGGAAGGAGAAGAAAGAGAAAGAAAGAAGGAAGGAAGGAAGGAAGGAAGGAGGAAGAGAAAGAAAGAAAGAAAGAAGGAAGGAAGGAAGGAAGGAAGGAAGGAAGGAAGGAAGGAAAGAGAGAGAGAGAAAGAAGGAAGGAAGGAAGGAAGGAAGGAAGGAGGAAGAGAAAGAAAGAAAGAAAGAAAGAAAGAAAGAAAGAAAGAAAGAAAGAAAGAAAGAGAGAGAGAGAGAGAGAAAGAAAGAAAGAAAGAAAGAAAGAAAGAGAGGGAGGAAGGAAGGAAGGAAGGAAGGAAGGAAGGAAGGAAGGAAGGAGGAAGAAAGAGAAAGAAAGAAAGAAAGAAGGAAGGAAGGAAGGAAGGAGGAAGAGAAAGAAAGAAAGAAAGAAAGAAAGAAAGAAAGAAAGAAAGAAAGAAAGAAAGAAAGAAAGAAGGAAGGAGGAAGAGAAAGAAAGAAAGAAAGAAAGAAAGAAAGAAAGAAAGAAAGAAAGAAAGAAAGAAAGAAGTTTCTTGTTTTGTCTCCATGGGGGAGGACTACATTCTTGAAATGGTTAAAATGGTAGTTTACAAGCATCTATGGTTTAAACTATGCTGCCAAGACATATCAAAAGAGTTCTTGACTGTAAATTCCTGTCATTTGGTCAATCCAAGTGTGTTTGGCTTCAACACAAGCCACTAATTCAAATCAGTTCCATCAGAACCCTGTAATTACGTGTCTAAAAGTAAAATAAAACTCCAATGCTATGATTCTAAGTTAAAAGATTGCTGAAGTCATGCAAACCTTTCATATAGTTATTGGGCAGAGCTGCAGCATTTATCTAACATAATTTAGAATGTTACCTAGGGAATATGATCTGTACATTTTGTAGAACACATACAGTTGGCTAAATTGCAGAGAAGCAACTACAGCTTTATGCATCTTTTGAAAATTCTGCCTTAACCTCCATGGTCTCTATTCACTTCATCCTTTTAGCTTTGAACATAGATGTGTCAAGATGTGATCAGATAATGTGTAATAGAGTGAACATCTGGTTCTTCCCTTTGCCTAGTAATTTTCTCAGATCCAAAAGATAAATGTTAATCATAGTGCTTAGAAAAATGGATTAATAGTTCATTTTAGGGCTGGATATGCTATAATAATTCTGATAGTTTCTATAATAAGTTATCTAACGTAAGGTAATTTTCTTTTTATTGGAATAATTGGAAACTTTAAAATTTCATACATGGTGATAAAAACCTCACTTGGGGGGTTTTGTTTGGTGGTGGGCGTGTCTTTCTCACTCATTTCTCTCCCTCCCCAGCATCCGCTTCACTGTGGTCAGTGACCCTCCCGAGGACGAGCAGGATCTGGAGTGTGAGGACATCGGCATTGCCAATGTCGATCTGGCCGAGATGTTTCAGAAAGGGAGAGACATTGTGGAGCAAGATATTGATGGTACGCTGGGAAGTGTTGCTCAATTAGTACGGGCAACAATTGCTGAGATCCAAAGGCTTTATTAAAACCTTCTCTTTTTTGCTGGCTGCGGGGATGTTGAGTCACACATTAGTTAAACCTTTGCAACTCAGGCTGATTTGGGGTTCCAGCTAGGAAGACTTGCCTGCATCTCTCTCTCTCTCTTTCCTTCTCCACCCTCTTTGTCTCCTTTCTTTGAATCAGGAGAAATTTTTTTTTTTAATTTTCTGACTTTTTTTTTAAATTTTAATTAGTGAAACACCATGAGGTACAGTTGTAGACAAACTTTTGGGCTTGGGTTTCAGTTTTACAATGATCGAGTACCCATCCCTCCACCAGTGCCCATTCTCCACCACCACTGATCCCTGTATCCCTCCCACCCCCCCCCCCATCCCACCCTGCCTCTGTGGCAGGGCATTCCCTTTTGTTCTCTCTCTCCTTTTGGTGCTATGGTTTGCAAAAGAGGCAGTGAGTGGCAGTCATGTTCGGTCTATAGTCTACTTTCAGCATGCATCTCCCATCCTGGGAGGATCCTCCCAACACCCTTTATTTGGTGCTCCCTTCTCTATCTGAGCTGCCTTTTCCCTTAACGTGTGCGGCTGGCATCCAAGCCATGGAGTAAACCTGAATCAGGAGAAATTTAACAACAAGTGTTTTTCACAAGAAAATTGATCTATTTGGGGGAGCCAGAGCAATTATACAGCAAGTAGGGCATTTTCCTTGCTTGGGACTGATCTGGGTTTGATCCTCAGTATCCCATATGGTCCCCCAAGCACCACCAGGAGTGATTCCTGAATGCAGAGCTACGAGTAACCCCTGAGAATTGCCTGAAGTGCCCCCCCCCCCAAAAAAAGGAAGTGCCCACTTAGTGTTTTTCACGAGGCTGCTCTTTAATCCGGTATTACCATCCACTGACAGTCACTACCACCTAACTCTGAGGACTGTTGGTCACTGGTTTCTCGCCGTGATTCAGGAAAGACTGAGCAATTCCTGACCCAGCAGATTCCCGGATTTTCATCTCAACAATCCAGGTGTGATTCCCAACAATCATGAGTTTCTGCCTCTGTTCTTTTTCCCTTTTCCCTTTGTCTTCCCCCTTTCCCCTTGGGCTGGAGCGATAGCACAGCGGGTAGGGCACTCGCCTTACAAGCGGCCAACATGGCCGACCCGAGTTCGATTCCTCCGCCCCTCTCGGAGAGCCCGGCAAGCTACCGAGAGTATTCGATATGCCAAACACAGTAACAACGAAGTCTCCAATGGAGACGTTACTGGGCCCGCTCGAGCAAATCGACGATCAACGGGAGGGCCTTTACCTTTACCTTACCCCTTGGTACCAGGGCCCAAACCCAAAGCCTCACACAGAGGCATGCACGCTGCTCTCCTGAGCCATGGCTCTAGCCCTATACCTCTTGACTGCTGTTCTTTCTTCCTCGCCTCCTTTTACCTTTGGGGGGATGGAAGGCAGTATTTTTTGTTGTTACGATAACCAGGAATCACACCCACACAGCTGGTGGTGGTGCTTGCCCATATGTGTTTGGTGTAAACCGGAGTTTGTCCCGGGTGCTTGCAGTGCCCACACACATGTGGCTGCAGGGCACCAAGGATGGGACACTCGGTTACAGTGACAGGGGCCCCTGGCTGCCAAGCTTCTGAAACCCTCCTCAACACATGTGAGTGGCCTGAGGGATCATACTTTCAGTCTCACACCTGCAAGGCACACGCTCATCACACTGAGAAATCCACCTGGCCTCTACTGCCATTCTTCCATGAAATGTCATGACACAGACATTTTCACACAAGTAGAGAGGAGAGACTGACGCCTGGTCACCGGTAAATTAGCAGGGTTATCTCTGGAAAAAAATGTATTTGGTTTGTTTATTCATTTACTCAGACGTTAAATACATACTTAATGGAATATCTCATGCATTGTAGCCTGGTCCTGGTTCAGATGTCAAGCTGCATCTCCTGACTGTGTGTCACCTACTCAAAGTCGCCATCAAACCAAGCTAGGCCAAAAAAGAAATCTGTGAAATCTTTGTAAATTATACAGGTCTAATTTTGCCAGACACGGAAAGAGAAGATGAGAGGGTAAAATGCTCACCTACACACTATGAAAATCCACGCACATCCTGGAGAGTCAGATAAAAATAACCAACATGATCTATACTACTGACTCTTTCCCCCCCCCCCAATCAATTCTGTTTCAAGACCCTTTTCTCCTTCTGCAAGACCAAAGAAGACCACACAGTTCTGAGAGAGAAGCTATTATGGTCATGTTTGGGGGAAGTCAAAAGATTAAGCCCTAGTCAGGTCAGAATTTTAGTGCTTTGTTTTTGTGCTAGACATGGAAGTGAGACGTCTCAAAGACTGATTAAACTCAGGATGATCTGAGGACCTCAAGTGCCTCTGCAGTCTTTCTGGCTGATTCATTCTCTCCAAGTCAAGTCTTGGCATACCCGGCTCTGTTGGAAGGTTCCCTTCAAACTCCATTAGAATTACAGACACACACATACACGTGTAAGAAACACCAGGAATATAAATAGGAAACTTTATAAACTTACAGACTCCGAAGTTGGGGCCCTTGTCACTAGTGTTATTATCCCCAGAGGGGTAGAATCCCAAATATTGAGTTAATATCCCCCAGGCCTCAACACTGGACTCAGACAATGTCCAAGATTTCCATCAAATAACCTTCCTTCAACACCTCATGAGAAGCAGTGACACCTCTTCCAAGAAAAGTCCATGTGCACTCAAAGTTGTACATCAACTATCCCCCAGGGTCAGTTTACAGACCTCAAAGCAATCCAGAAATTCTGGATTCCTTAGATTCCTCAGTTGACCATCTTTAACATTTTCTAACTTCGCATGTAATCTATTTTTTTTAACCTGATCTATTTTTAAATGGAATGCCTCCCTTAGAAAGATAAATAAGGGGCTGGAGGGATAGCACAGCGGGTAGGGATTTTACCTTGCACGCAGCTAACTCGGATTCGATTTCCAGCATCCCATATGGTCCCCCTAGCACCACCAGGAGTAATTTCTGAGTGCACGAGCCAGGAGTAACCCCTGTGCATCGCCGGGTGTGACCCCCCTTAGGCCTGGCTCATTCATTCTTGCTCTGCAGGTAAAACGTTCATAATGCATGACACTGTGTTCAAAAGGTATATCTTGATAAACATGTGATAAGTTTTATATTTAAATTCCAGAAGTAGCAATGAAGTCTGGACTTTACAGAACTAGTTTTATCTCTTCCATTACTGTGCCTAGTTTTATCTCTTGCATTCAAGAAAAATCTGTTGAAGGAAATCAATGTGATTTTTTTTTCTTTTTCCTCCCTAGTTTTTGATGCGCGCACATATGGAAAATGCATTGGCAAACTCAGGATAACAGTGGACGCCCTCCATGCCCTGCGGTCCATCACTGAGGAAGCTTGAATGAAGCAGCTTCGGGGCAGCCCTTACTCCTGAGTAAATGCTCCTGGGAAGCCTCGCAGATGATATTTTTGTAATTATTCCAGTGTATATAATCTAGAGTTCTTAAAAAGCGGAGAGGGGTGAGGCCTGTGTTTGACATGTTCAAGTCTTAGAGACTTTTTGGTTTATTTTTCTGTTCCTTCTGTCCCGGTGACTGTCACCCCTTCAGGACATAACTTCTTCATGATGGGCAAAACCTTCTTCACATTAGTCCAGGAAAGCTGCTTTCCTTTTCGACATTATCTTATGAAGAACTAAGATACAATTGCCATTTTTATTTTTAATACGCAAAAAACCCATAAATCATAGAAAACCTATTTTAAAAAAACAGAGGCACTGTTATGTAATCGTCGCACTAAATGGAATGCCTGTGATTAGCCTCATTAAGAGTTTTATACTGTGAAGATTTTATTAGCAGCAATATATGAAAATTACTTGGATTAATGTGTTAATCTTCCTCTTTAAAATGCTAATATCCATTTCCCACACATTAAAGCTCAGTATGCATTTTCTTTGATGCATGCAGTTTCTATCAATTAAATATAAAGAATGAGACTTGGTACCAACTTCCTACATTTCTGCCACTTTTTGTTTTTTAAAAGGAGAGTTTTTCTACTTGTATTATTTTTGTGTATTTTCAATGCTCACATGGAATTCAGGGATATTGTGTTTATATATGTGTGTGTGTGTATACATATAGATATATATATATATAGAGAGAGAGGTAGTTAAATATATATATATACAGAAATTTTCACTTTGAAAATTTGGCATGATCTAGAAATTATTAAAAATATGGGTCAAACTCTGATATGTTTAGTTAGACCTGAAAGAAATGTCTTTTTATCTTTTTTAAAATTTACATCAGGCTTATCCAATACTGGAGAGTATCTGGATAACCAGATCCTCAAAAAGCGGCTCAGAAAGTTAATTTTCGAGCTTTTACCCAATCTCACTGAAGGATTTAATTGATATTTTTAATGGAGCTGTGAATCAATGCTGCAAAGGAATTGTCTCTAGAGGTCTAGGATATAATACATTTCATTTTTTAATTTACTTTTTTATTTGTCATTTTCTTCAAAGGATTTTTATAGGCTGTGGGTTTTCACTGTTTGCAAACAGGCTATGTTCCTTCTTAAGCATATGTAAAGTATTCAGGGAGATAAGTAATTTATTAAAATCTACCTAATTTGCCGTGATATATTAAATCTCTGCTTCAGTGATCACAGACCATTTCATTTAGAGAATTAGGCATTCCCTCTTTGTGTGATTAAAGCTCTGGAAAATGAGTTCTTTGCTCCTATTTGTGAACATTCAAAGCCTGCTAATGGCAAGAAGATGGAATAGATTATGAGACAATTCATTACAGTTCAACAGAAAAAAAAAGCAGCTATAATGCAAAAATGCAAGTATGAATATCTGCATATAGTTTGAACCATCTGTGCTCTAATGGCTTCAATAATGACTCTCATCTTTAGGAGGCTTTGAAATGACATCCGTACAATATTAATTTGTTGATGTACACTGTGGAACCAGTAGGGTATGATACGACCACAGAAATCTACAAATTCTGTCTCACCGGGCCTCCCTGTCTGGGACCTACCATCCCCAAGAAGAATCCTGTGCTCATCAGACTCTGCAAATCTTCCTAACAACTCATTCCTCTGGAACCTTCTAGAGACCACAAACATCTGCAGACTAAACCTCTCCAATCCTAGTAAACAGCCACAGGTTTGTTGTCACTTCAGCTGGCTCTGAGCTCATCTTTTTGGCCTCTCCTTCTAGCTTTCTTTGGCTTTATGCAGTTACAGTATCATTAAGGCCCATAATATCCCCTGCCATAATTTAAAACAGCCGGATTATACCCTGGGATTAACTGAGTGGTTTTTGAGACATTTATTGTGGTATGCTCCCAGGAGGTTTGTATTATTGTTTTGAAATGTCACATCCCAAACTGAATATACACTTTCTGCAAGGAGGGGAACCAGGCAGCACTCATTTCTTGTGATCTTTAAATGGGGAAGGGGAATTTTTTGTCAGAAAACCTGTGAGAGTTAGTCCACTCTGTGGAATGAATACCTCAGATAAGATTCAAGAGTGAGCCACGTTTACGTTTTCTTCAGGTTTTACAAAAATAGATACTAAAGATTTCTTTTCTCATTGTAAAACACTCCACTTCAAGCTACATCATCTTCACAGAATTCACTTTCTAGGCAACTGAAGAGCTACTGACACATTTTGAGGTCGAGAGGGACTGTTGAATGATTGTTAAATGGATGCTTCCATTGGGGCTCAGGATCTGTCCAAGGAAAGAACCTTGTTTTGTCTTGTGTTAACCAGAGTTCATTGGAAAGTTCACCACCTTTGGATTACAGAGCAAGGGTTTTCTCTCAGCGAGCCAAGCCCAATCCATTAAGTGGAGCAAGGCAGTGAGGGGCCGGGGGTGGGAGACTGTCAACAGTGGCTTTGCTGCACAAGTACACCAGTTAAAGATAATGCTTATGTGAACTCAGAGCTCTTGGTGTAAACGTTTACAGTGCACTCAGCAATTTTTCAGTCTGTAATGCTTTTAGTTTGGAAACATAAATAGAGATGTGATGTGGTATGTGGGCGAGTGTATTTTACATGTTTGTGTGCCTACTGTACTAGAAATGTCAAATTCCCAGCCACTGTCATGAGAAGCAGTTGACAAAAATAAGTTTTATGGTTTATAGTGTGGTTTACGTAGAGAACATTTCTCTTCACTCTCAGTTTCAACATGTTTTCTAAATTATTATGGTTTATTGCCATTTAACTTAAATTAGTTTTTTTAAGAATAAATAGGGAATATATTTAATCAAATAAAGAACAGTCACATTGAAATTCTGCTATTCCTGCCATTCATTTGTTACCACAAAGCACAAATAATTTCTGTGTGTTATGAAAAAGTGTGGGCTGAGAAGTGGTCACGTGACTTGGGAGGGTTCTGCATATGCCCATGTTCCCACAACAAAACATAAATTATTTTAGTAATCTGACATCAAGAGCTGTGACAATGAGAACCACTTCTTACACATGTTCTAACAAGAGGCTGATTAACATTTTTGTGGATATGGAAAATAACTTTTTTTAGTCAAACTGGCACTATTGCTGAATTTAGAATGATTTCCTTATGTACTAGGCAGCTAATGTGAATCATGGCTGTGAACAAATAGGAGAATAAAATGTCACTTTGTGTAGTACAAAACAACCGAGAGAAGCTTTCGGGATATAGAATGATCAAGTGATTGACAATATCGGGATGATAATTCATATCCAACTCTAGGAGTACATTTTAATAAGTCACTCATGCCTGAAGGCCTCTGACTACCTGAACAAAGAAAAACTAAGCCTATGATTTATTACAGATTGGGCAACATGCCTAATTAAGTCCATGAATGAGAGCAAACACAGCTTTACATCCCTTTGTTTGCAACAAAAACAACGTCCAGGGCCCCCAGAAGGCTAAAAACATATCAAAGCTATTAGAAATAAGTATTTCAAAAGCTGAAAATAGAGAAATCAGAATTTTTTTTCTCATCCTAATGTCTTTTACTTTGCAAAACAGTTTTTCCTTCCCTTTCAAAGTGTCGCTTCGGTGTGCCTTACAGCCTCTCGTAGGAAATGGTGCCCACTCTTACAGTGTCTCTAGTCCTAGCCCACGTTGCATGGACTTCTGTATCAAGCCATATTTCTTCTTCAGTTTTTCTGAAACAAGCTCTTTCCCTCTCAGAGGCTGAATACAACCGTGGGTCTCTACTGAACACCTTTAGGCTTTTCCTCTGCTCTTTGACCTCTTCTTCCTTGTTACCTTGTTCCATCTCTCTCTGCAGCATGGTTAGATATGCTTTTAAGTCAAACTTAGCATTGTGATCTTTTTATTTCAGTCATCTTGTGTTCTTGGCACCTCTGTTCAACCGAACATCTCTTCCCCAGCACCTGGGGCAGCCCCAGTGACCTTCCTAAAGTGCTCCTTTGTGTGGCTAGGTCCCTTAGTTTGAAACAACAGGGACACTCTCAGTCAGCCTTTGTGAAACTCAGGAGATAGCAAGGTGTTTGTGAAGCCTTCCTTCTTGTGCCTTTTTTACAATGACTTCACCGTAAAAGATGGAACTCCAAGTTTCCAGGAATCTGTTATAGTGTTAAAGCAGGAAGAGCTTTTTTTCCCATGTATTTATTTATTAGCATGTTGTGTTGCCACTGATTTTTATTTTCAGTGTGGATAGGTACTTCATTGTAACTTTTTTTATTGAACCACTGTGAATTACAAAGTTATAAAATTATTTATGACTAAGTTTCAGGTTCTTACTGTTTCACCAGTGCCCACTATTCTCCACCTGTGACCCCAGTTTGTCTCCCAACCCCCAGCCTGCCTCTGTGGCAGCCACTTTCCCTCTACCAGTGCCCATTTTCCACCACCACGGGTCCCAGTATCCTTCCCACCCCCATCCCCTCATCCCACCCTGCCTCTGTGGCAGGGCATTCCCTTTTGTTCTCTCTCTCCTTTTGGATGCTGTGGCAAAGAAAGCATTTAGTGGCAATCACGTTCTGTCTATAGTCTATAGTGTTCCCTTTCCTAATGTGGCTTTTTTTTCCTTTTAATGTTCAAGAGACAGTTCTACAAATTTTTCACTTCTCTTTTTTTTTTTTAAGTTTTGGGCCACATCTGGTGGTGCTTAGGCGCTACTGCTGGCTTAGTGCTCAGAGATCTCTCCCCAGGGTGCTCTGCAGGACGATGCAGTGCCAGGGAGCAAATCCGTAGCCCCATTATGCAATCATGCCCTAGCCTGGTGAGTTATCTCCCTGAGTCTACAAACTTTTCTTTTTTCTTTTTTTTTTTAATTTTTATTAGTGAAACACCATGAGGTACAGTTGTAGACTTACAAACTTTTGTGCCTGGGTTTCAATTATACAATGATCAAATACCCATCCCTCTACCAGTGCCCATTTTCCACCACCATGGGTCCCAGTATCCCTCCCACCCCCAACCCCTCATCCCACCCTTCCTTCTGTGGCAGGGCATTCCCTTTTGTTCTCTCTCTCCTTTTGG